TTGGCCATCGGGCTGTGCTACGGCGTTGAACCCTCTCCAGGACTACAAAGAGACGAAGAGCCCAGACATCTCGGAGCTGAAGGAGACATAGTTCTAATGGAAAACACATTATCAGGTAAGGAGTTTCATTCTTCTCTTTTGTTAAGAGAAAAATTATCCCGAGGGCGTTTTCATGCAAGGATTGTGTTTGGTGATTAATTTTTTCCTTATTATTTTAATACAGTGCTATGCTGAATGCTTAAGAAGTGTACTTTCCAGCTCTGCTCTCTGACAGACATTGAGCTTCTTATCAAAACGTTTAAAAGGCAAAGGAGCAAAACTATCCTGCTTTCCTGGGGGTGTGCGGGTTTTGACTCTCGGTGCTGATGTACTTCGGCTCTAGCGAAGAGCCACAGGTTGAACGCTGGGTCCTCCCAGCCAACGATCCCTCCCTCCGCTCCCCCTCCTCCAGCCTTGCTGTCACCAAGAAAGGCTGCTGAAAACGTGGAGCCCCGATTTTCACTTCTCTCTATGAATTGGAAGTGTTGAATTTTGAGACAGGGCAGTCTTAGAGCTATTTTTTGCGAGTTGAGAGTAGGAAAAAAAACCCCAGTTTCAAAACCTGTGTGTTAAAGAGCGGAGTCACTGCAAACGGGTCTCGTGTTTATCAGGTAAAGACAGGGCTGCGGAGGGGCCAGACGCAGGATTTTGTGTTTGCAGTATTTGGCAAACAGGAGGGCACGGAGGGAGCACGTTCACCTCTGCACTCCCCACGTGCAGGGATTAATCATTGGCTCCTCCGCAAGCACGAGATGCATCGTACGCCGCTCTCTTCGCAGCCAGCATCGAGAGTTCCTGCCAGTACTCCCGAAGAGCAGCTTGCTTGTAGGAGTCGGCCGCGATACGCTCTGTTGCGTTTTTATTAGAGAGGGGAAAAAAAAAAAAGTCTGAGGAGGTGCCAAATAGGAAATCCCCGAGACGGTAAGTAAGCGAAGTGAAGTGGTTGTGTGGGACGTGTCTTCCCGGGACGACCGCTGGTACGGCAGAGCTGGACACGAGCTCCCACCAAAAGTTACCGCAGTGCCTGGGAGCGCGTTCCTGGAGAGCGAGAAGTTCGGGTGCGTTTACTGAGCCCTTGGAGGGAAACGCTTCCAGAGGCATCCGGTTTCACAAGTGATGCTCTTGCTGGTTCAAGGCGTCTCAAACACCGCTGCCTTCACATACGTTTCTGATGTTTGGTTTTGCCTTCTGAATCTGAAGTTTTGAAACTGGGGTCTTGTCAAGGCGTGTCTCATGCTTACATTTTGTGTCTTTGATATCTAATTGAAAGTTAAACTTTTCCTGACGAAGTCCGTGCAGCATTTGTAGGCAGCGTCGTTTGTTTGACTTTCTGGCTTCACGTTTCAGCTTTCAGGGGTATTTGCTTCTCGGTCCAAAGGCAAAAATAAGATTAAAACTGGTAGAAATTTAGTTGGAATTTTCTAAAAAGTCTTAGATTTGCTCCATCATTTTTTTAATGAAGTGTTATACCTGTGGAGATTCAGTGCAGTTTTTACAAGACCACCACGTTTTCCACGTTATCCAAATCCTCCAGCGTGAACCTTTTGTTTACTGCCCCAACATCCTGGCTGCTGCTTCCAGTTCACAATGACTGAAATCTAGACCTGGGCAAAAAAAGTAGCACTTCCTAGAAATCCCTTCCTACTTGCCTTTAACCTTCGTTATGTGATGGGGAAGCTCCGGGCAGGGAAAGCAGAGTGCCGAGGAAATAAGCCTTGTGCTAACAGTCAGCGGGTAAACAGGGATTCTGGATCCATCGCCCCTGGAGTACGCAAATATTTAATTCTTCCAAAAATAAACAATGAAGGGAACAGAGTAGTAGAACCATTTATTAACTCCAGCTGCCCGATCTGTGAAATCAGGAAATTATGTCCAAGGGGAAAAGAGCACAATGCGTTTGAGGTTGCTTTGATTTTTGGTTTCAGCCGTTTTAAAGGATTAAAATACAAAAATATGTTCTGAGGTTCCCTCCCTTGCTCCCTTTCTGGGAAGGTCGTGAAACCGGCCACTCTGGAATTGCTGTTGTTCTTGCACGGGGTATTTGCTGTTTGGCCACATGATCAAAGTTGGAGCCGAAATAAATATTCCCCATGAAAATATCCCCCAGTAAATACTCCCTGCTCAGTATTTAGAAGGGTATGAAGAAACACCCTGGTGTTTTCTTAATGTTGCCCTGCTCTAGCTATACTAGATTTATAATTCGTTATATTAGCGTCTGGGTGAAAACACGAAAAATGGGTCTCACCAGCCTGCTTAAGGGAGATGGTGGCAGCATCTATTTTAGGCTACTTTTAGCATCTAACCACCTCCCGGGCGGCAGCTGGCTTCCCCCTGAAGACGATGTGGGGGGAAGGCGTGTAAGCAATGGGGTTGTTTGAGGGTCCAGTTCCAATATCTAGGGCAGGCGAGCAGTGGTTTGCCAACAGACCGCGTGTCTAAAGCAGGACATAAATTCGCTGCGGGAAATGCAGGGTCTGAGGCTCAGGGGTACGTGCGACATAAAACCAGAGCTCCTGCACCCAGGAGCTGGACTTGACAATGCTGCTGCAGATTATGTGTGTTTTAAGTATTTTGAATAGCTGCATAAAAGAAGAAAATTAAAATTTTTATCTTCTTTCTTCTATATGCCATTCAACCCCCTCATGTTTTTAGTACAGTACAGACTGGCTTTTCCGTTGTTAATTTTATGTAGATGAAGGATCGAACTATAACCGGTTGAATGCCTCTCTCTACAAAGCCTCTTTGGGATGAAGAAGGCTGAATCTGTGCATGTGGAAGAGGCAGCTGAGTCCAAGCCAGCTCTCCGTTCCCTTGCGCGATCGTGGACCATTTCCTTCAAACTTCCCCTTGGTTGGCCAAATTGTAAAATGGAGAAAAGCTCTTAACCTTTGGCATGTCATTAGCTTCCTCTGAGGCGGCCTTTACCCGAGTAAATGTATTAACTTCCAGTGAGCTGTTTTATTCTAAATTATATTATTTCCTTTCTCATCCGAGCTGGGAAAATGCAGGGGATATTCAAGAAAGCCTCAAAAATATTTCAGCAAACCCGTGCTCTCCTCTGGAAAAATATTCTTCTCATGTGGAGGATGAAGACAGAAAGTTTTCAGGCAAGTATCGGTTCTTCCAAAGGGACGTTAGGACTTCCGCTACGATGTATTTTCACATGCGGTTGTTTTTATGCTTGGTGCTATATGAGAAGCCCTAGCTGGTAACGTGCTGCTCTGCAAAATGTCAGCAGTTACACTTCTTCCCGTGACGCTGCAATATCACGGCATAATAAGGGCTTGTTACAAGCCTTGCTGGTTGCTTTTGGTTGTTGACCCCATTTCTGCGCTGCCCAGAGGAACACAATGTCCAATTCACCATTACGGATGTGAAATTGTCAACGGACCTTGTTGGCTCCGCTACTAAGAAAACATGTTTTTCGCTTGAAACATTCCTCATATTTTAAAATTATTACACCTGTGAAACAGCAGCTCCTCATCTACAGAAAGGCAGCATTCACGGCCGGAGGAGCCGGATCAGCGCTGGAGGAGAAGGGTCCTTGAAGACACCTTCCGTGCCACCCAACCTCCAAGTCACTGAGCTGCCACTCACTTTTGCATTTCCTTCCCTTCGTCTAGGAATGGATTACACTGGTGGTTTTTCTCTTAGTAATACAAACATCGTCAACTATGATATTCCACTACCCGCGGCAAGAAATCCCTTACGACTTCCTCGGACGGTTAGATGATCCAGCCTTCAACGCTGTGGGAGTCACACTCGCATACACACCTGCAACAAACACCACCAGGCGAATAATGAGCAAAGTGGCTTCGGATTCTGCACTGACGGGTAACGCTGCTCTTAAACCCTTGTTACAGCTGCCCGAACCCACCCTGACACAGTCCTCATTGTGCTGGGGGGAGAGAAGGACGTGGACATCACAATTTTTGAGGGTACAGATTGTGCCTGATGCCCATTTTCATGTTGTTGCACGAGTAATCAAAATTTCAGCTGTGGTGGTTTTAGTCTTGTCTTTTTTTTTTTCTTTAAATAACAGGTGTAATTATAGAAGAGGTGGAAAATGAGAAAAAACTGGAAACAAGAGGAGTTTTTGAAGACATTATTGGTGTTGTTTTTAAGGATGACTTCTCCTACAGTCTCAGATTTCAAAGCTACAGTGTGGTATCTCCAAATGATGCCTTTGAACACATCGGTAACAAAATAAATGAAACCAGAGAACTTGGTTTTACGTTTTAAAATGCTTAGGTGGATCTCTGTGCTGCCATGCCGCTCGGAAGGGATCAAGGCTGTATGTGCTAACTGCTTCAAGAAGGATATTAATTAGAATTTGAGGTTTTGTTCACTTAGAAGGAAACAAATGGCAGAGAAAAAAAATTTAAGAAAACATACACGTTATCCACAGTCCTTGTTGTCCCCCTCCCTTCTATGTCTTATCATGCCCCGAAAATCAGCATCATGCGTGCACTAATGTACTTCTAACATGCAGTGCACGGACACGTGTTTAATACATTAAAACATAAACCTGCGCACGCGTTTGTCCACGTTGCTGCTTCTTTGACCAAATGTGCTCCTATTTACTGACTAAGAGTAGTAAACGAGCCGAAACAAAAAGTAGGCTTATTAGCAGATAAAATTCAAGTGAGTTCCTCAGTTGATGGGGGGGAAAGGTATTTTTCTAAGAGCAGGTCTTGGAGAATGGAAATGGTGGAGAGGCTATTTATTCTGTCTACACAAGTCAGTAGCTCCTCTCCGACATGACCCCCGGCCAGCGTGCCCTGGGTTCACTAGCCGTGCTCCTCTCCTGCCCCCGGGGCTGGGCACACTTGTGGTTGCTGCACTTTGAGCCCAGGCTCCGGCCAAAGCGGGAGAGCTGAGCGTGGCCGCTGTCCTGCGCTGTGACGACGGGCTTGGTGCCACCTCAGGTGGTCCATGGAGCCAAAGCCACCAACGCCCAATACCGCATTATTCTTGGAGAAAAGTGGCTGCTCCGGGAAAAAGGATGAGTAAAACTAAATCCTGATTTCCTCTCTCTTATGTCAAATACATTTTCAACCCCACATATATACGTAAGCATTTATATCGACATCTATGGAAATATATAGATAAAAATCTTTTTTTTTTTTTTTCCTCACAGATACCTGCTCCAATTTTTCATCAAGTAACTGCAAAGTCCCTTTGTACTGGTATGCTGGTTTCCTATCGGTGCAGTCCAGCATTGATGCAGCAGTCATAGAAGTAAGTATGATTATGATGGAAAACATGCTTTCTGTTCCTTCTAGAGTTACCTGTGCGCTGAAAAAACCCAAATAAAATTAAAAATCCCAAACCAGTTCATTTTCTGTGATCATTCACTTTTTAAATGCATAGTGTGATTCAAAAGAATGATAGATCATCTTGGCAAATTGCATCTTTTTCTTGGGTGCAAGAGGTTTCCTATCTTATGTTGAAAATTAGCAGCCAAAACCCACCTGTGGAATAACACTGGGCAGTGGCTGACTTAGAGGTTGACAGTCCGTTTGTGCCCATGTGTTGCCACACTTCCTTTTTTCTTTTTTTTTTTTCCCTCTTTCATTTTTTATCTGTAAGTCTACAGGAAAAATTAAAGTAAAATCAATAGAAACACTATTGCCAAAATTTTTGTCCTGTCTTTGAGGTTTTATTTTATCAGACTGGTCGGTTTTGAAAAACAGAAGTGAACTATTCAGTAGGGACCAAACTCTATTATTCAGTGACAAACTCTTCCATCTATCTCAATATTTACTATCCAGATGTAAATATTGAGGTTATTTGCCACTTATTAATGTAATAATGTTATTGACAAACTAATAACGTTAATGCTTGTGAAAACCTGTTTGTTCCGATGTTGGCTGTTTCGTTACAGAAAATCAAATTAATGGCGAATTTATTTTCTTCAGATGAAAACAAACCATTCTGTCTGGGAAGAGATGAAGTCAATTAGTGGCGTTCGTCTGAAATCACCCCCCGTCAAACCTGTGTATAAACTGGATTATATTTGGTTCATTATTTACATTATATTGTGCTTCTCCCCATATATGTACTTTTTATCAGTGAAAGTTATAAGAGAGAAGAAGCAGCTCAAGGTATTAATGAGAGCAATGGGTTTGCAAGATATCGCGTTCTGGTAAGTCTCGGAGAAATAAACGGTGTAATTACAGGAATTAGCTTCTCTTCTGTGTTCTCCCTATTATACGAGGTGCACGCTCGCTCGGAGGGTGGATGCGGCTCCGGTAGCACCGCTCAGCGCGGTGTTAATTCCCCAGACCCCAGCAGCAGTCGTTGACAATTGCTCAACCACGCAGCCGGGCGCTCTGAAGCCGCGTTTCGCCCCTTGGGGAAGCAAAACCTTTGCTGCTTTTATCTGTAACGTACCATTTGCTGGAGTTTCCAAGCACGTTGCTCTGAAAACACGATTTTGTTGTTGTTTGTTATGCTTAGCTCGGCACTCTACCCCAAAAAAAAAAGAGAAAGGGCACTCTGAGTGTAGCAAGGTTCTTGTGTTGAGGTGTTGTTTGCCTCCTGGAGATGGGTGGATATACACAGAGAACACAAAAAGTGAAGAAACAACAGATTTTGGAGAAAACTGCAAACGATCAAGCGCAGGAGGGACTTAGGGTCTATCAAAACAGGCTTCCAGAGCCTTCTGAGCATGAGTATTTCACATCATTGGGAAAAGCATGAACGTAAGTGGTCCCGACCACAGAGCCTCTGCTTAGATGCCCTGTGGCTCTTTGCATCTGCAGAGATTTGGGTAGGTGCAAGACACGGATATTGCACCTTTCCAGTCTGGAAACTGTAAACGGAAGTGTATTTGGATTAAAAAGGGTGTGTCTTGTGGTGGCCATGGAATGACATGTGCTGTCACGTACTGAGGCAACAATAACCGTGCCTTCATTCGTAGGTTATCCTGGAGCTTGCTGTACACCGTCTATGTTTCCGTAACGGCAAGCCTGCTGACGCTGATCACGATTAGAGGAGTCATCTACGATCACAACTTTTTTGAAATATATTTTTTTTATTTCTCTTATGGCATAGCATCCGTAAGTCTGCTTTTGCGTTGTTAAACGATGCGCAATTTTTTCATTTCCTAATTAAAACGTCTAAAACTCCAAGACTAGTCTGGGGTTGGGCATTATGTGAGAAAGGAATAAAAAGCTTCTCCGCTATTGGGATTTATTACAATTTGTAGGCTAATATATCACAACATTTTGGGAGATTCTGACTTGAAATCAGAGTAAGGAGAGGTGCTGACACCAGCATGAGTGGGAAGGCTGATGCCGTGTGCCCCTGGGGCCAGGGCTTCCTCCTCGGGAGGCCGAGGGGGGTCTGATCTGTCTGCCCCTATAGACCTGCCCTAAATATCAAAGCTGTCTGCTAAATGGTGCAAGCCTTGTGATGTGCCATGTGCATCTGTAGGGGACAACTGAAACTCACTGGGTCCCTGGTTTTGCTTGTTGAATTTTCACGTTGGTTTTTTTTCATCGCCAGCAGAAACGCATCCTGCTAAGTACTGGTTTTCTCTGCTGCAGATTCACTTCTGTTTCATGCTCAGCTCGTTGTTAAAGCAGCCAAATATTGCCAGCTTCGTGGGATTTGTCCTTCACATCGTCTTTGGATTGCTGGGCTTTCTGACACTGTTTGAAAAACTACCACCATCTTCGGAATGGATTTTTAATCTCTTCAGTCCTTTTGCCTTTACAGCTGGCATCTCAAAGGTATGTTCCAAATAAAGCCAGCACGTGATAAAAGTTCAGCCCACAGCAAACACGCTGCAGACTTCTGCCAGGTAACAGTAGCTGCTGTACGTAATTTGCATTGCTGTAACGACCCAGTCACGCCCCTCTGCCCGGGTTGTTTTGTAAAAAGAAAACTTGACGCCAAGAAGTACGTGCTATTTCATAACAAACGTAGTTAGACTCCCAACTGCATCGCGAGTTTTACCAGCTCTGTATATACAATAAATGTCAATCTCTGGAAAATTATTGCAGCAGTGGGATGTGTCTGGTGGCTACCAAGATCTGCAAGAACCATGAGGTCCTGAAGTGCTGCCTCAGCAAATACTGTGAACCTCACTCTTCTGGTGTAGAAACTTCTTCTGCACAACTTTGAATTCAGCTTACTGAAGCACTTCGGATACTTGTGGTCATAATAAAGTGTTGCCCTGGAAATGGTGTCACGATCACGTGTGGGCATGGGTTTCTAGTGAAAATGGTCATGATGACACAGCAGTGGCTTGCATGTAGTATTTCTGGCTAAAGGAATTGTTCCATCTGACTTGCGCTTTTTTCACCCCTAGATGGTAAAATTAGAAAAATATGGACCAGTCCTTACACCAGAATTGTACCCTTTCTTTAACCTATACATCGTCCTGCCCCTTGACAGTGTCTTGTATTTGCTGTTGGCCATCTACTTTGACAAGGTTTTACCTGGTAAGTAGAAACGTGAGGGAAAGAATACAGATTTCTTTGCATTTTTCTTCTATAATCCTTTCCCCTCATAGGGGGAAAGGCACCAAAGAAGCGGTGGGAGAGCGCCGAGAAAGCTGTAAACTATGTGGAGCAACAAAAAAGTTGTCCTGGCAGAGAACTGGTTGGGTTGTGGAATGGCATCTTAACAGCTATGAGCCATGCTGTATAATACGAGGGGTTGAAAACAGCATTTACTATATTGCTTGTGAAAAAATGGTTGGGAAGAATCCTGTTTTCCAGAAGCTGGGTGGATGTAGCTACCTCAATTGGCCCTGCCTCAAAAACAGGCTCCAAAAGGAACATTAAATCTTGCAGCAAGGAACTGAGATCCTTTACATCTGCTCCAGCAGCCCTAACCACTGCGTTTAAAAGGATATTGTAGGACTTCACCTGATTTTCCTACAGCCTCTGGGCCAAAGAGGTGGTCAATGAGGTCTTTGCTGTGATGGTTCCCCACCTGCATGTACAGATACGGGTGGGTGGATCACTTTGCAGAACTTACCAATCCTAAAGGCTGGCTGCTTCTGTTGTAGAGGAAGAGATGGCTGGACATGGCATTTATCGAAGTTGAGTGGACACATAGTAGTTTTTTGTTGATATTTCACCTTCTTTGTCTCTGAATTAGGCAAATACGGAGTACCATATCCACCTATGTTCTTCCTGAGACCGTCATACTGGTTCAAGCCCAGGAGCGGATATATGGGGGTGAGAGCTGGTGGTGAGAGCCGCCGTGATCCTGTCCTCAGCAGTAATGCCGAGCCGATGCCTCCAGGCTTCGATGGGAAGGAAGCCATCAGGTAAAGACGCGTAGGCATGAAAAATATAAGCCTATACATAATATTTGACTCTAGACAGCGTAGCTGTATTGCACCGGTGGACGTTAGACTGAGCTGCCTAACGTATACAGGTAAGGTCAATGGCAAACACGTGAAAGGAAGGGTTTGTTCAGTGTTGCGTTCTGCTCCAGAGCCGGATTTGAACATTTATTGGACATGGTGCATCTTCGGTGCCAGGGACCGACTTGCTACCCAGCAATTTCCTCTTTGCAGAGCAGCAGCAGCGAGTCTGTTCCCCTCCACCGTCGTCTTTAAGAACACTGCTGCTGGAGTGTGCTGCGTCGGGCGCTCTTACTTACAACCTTACGGGGCTAGTTTGTCCCATTGCTGTTGCTGCCCGTTGCCTATCTAAGGCAAATCTAAATCTAAGCCCATTTGCCTATCTAAGCAAATCTAAATCTGCTAAAATAATAGCTAGGTCATCACTTTTAATTATATAACCACGTGTTTTCTCATTCCCTAGGGCCTTCTGTTTTATTCACCGAGTTTGACTTCGAAACCTTTTAAACATCTTTTAGAAAAGTACATTAGTTAATTCTGCTTTTAAGGGTACAAGAAATGAATTATATAAAACAATTCCATCAGATGGAATTACACTAACCCCTGAGGGTAATGTGCAGGACCAGTTTGAGGAGAAGGTTGAGATATGTTCTTCCAATAATTTTCAAAGGTTACTTCGAGGCAGAGGAAACATGCCAAAATTGTGAGATTCAATAGTAATGGCTTGCTTACCTTTCCTTTAGACTAAACGATATTAAAAAAACATACAAGAAGAAGGACAAGAGAACCGAAGCTTTAAGGGGTAAGAGAGGTTTTGGAATTCTTTAATTTCATTTTTCACCAGATGTGAACCCAAACTGTTATGAAATGTACTGGGTGTTTTTAATTCTGCCTCCAGCACTATTAAAATGCATTATGCAATGGTTATTTCTGCTGGGGTAAATTACTGGCAAATTTCTACCAGGTTGTTACCTTCCTGTTCACTCCAGGAAAATTACTATTTATTATTTTTTGCAAGAGCAGAAGTCTCCTTAAAAGCTGTGGGTTTTGCAGCTATGAACCACTACAAAAATCACTTCCCAACCCTCCCTCTCAAAAAGTAAACTCTTCTGGGCAAACAAAACTTTTTATTTTTGGTCGCTGGCTAGAGCCAAGTCTGCTGTCACTGGCTGACCAGTGTTCAACAAGCACTTGCACATCTGCCAACCACAGGTACGCAAGTAGGTGGCATAGTCATGGCATCGTTGTGGGATATTAGTTAAATGCCTTTGTTTAACAAGAACTCCAAGTGACAGTGAAAATATCAATATGGTCTCAAAGGCTTGTACTGAGTAAAAAAACCCTCAACACAAAGAACCCACAAAAATACAAAATAAGTCTTTTTTTTTTTTTAAAAAAGGAAATGAGATAGCAAAGTCTGGCTGCTTTGAAATAACTCTTGAAATCTCATGTGTTGGAAAGGCTATGGGCTTTTCTCTTTCTGTGGGCTCTCTTTTGAGCCATGCTATATCAAAAAGTTATGAACCTCATAGAAAACAGAAGTCAAAATTCTTTAAATACTGAAGCTAATACACTTGTTCCCTCAATTCAATCAATTTCATGATGGCAAGTTCCTTATTAAGTTTAGTCCTAACTTCCAAAGATGCAACTCATGCTTTTGGATCTGTGGTTTTGACTCTCAGCTTCAAAAGAAGTGTCACTCCACCGCCATACTTGGGAGCAAGCTACGGGTACAAGTCTGTTTCTCACAAACCTCCATCCTAATATTTTCCTGTTTCTATTCTAGGTTTGTCCTTAAATATATATGAAGGCCAGATCACTGCATTACTTGGTCACAGTGGATCTGGAAAAACTGCTCTCTTAAATGTTCTCAGTGGATTTTCCAAGCCTTCAGCAGGTAAGATGGTGAACTTGAATGCTGAAGACAAGAAGCTCTTTGTTTTTTCAAGTGTAAGGGGTTAAAGATGCAAAAAAACAAGCTTTCCATCGGTTATTCAGTCTGGCTCATTGTCAGTGCAGCTTTCTCCTTCAACGTGAGCTTCAGGGCTAATGCATCCCTTGTGGATACGCTCATGTGTCCACACAGATGGTTATTTCTCCATCTGGATGGCCTGATGTTTTCCATGAGCTGCATACCTATAGGAAATATGTTTTAGTTCTTAAGGGAGAGATTTGGTGCTCTAAAATATTTTGAATGGTATTAAAGCTTTGGGCAAAACAAAGTTATTTTACCTTGTTATATAAACACTTGAGAAACACCCTCAATGCTGGAATTAATGTCGGAGGTAAGAACACACAGCAGTCGGCTCTCCCCTTATAACTGGGAAATACTGTACAGTATGAAATTTGTTTCATTCATTCCTGTGGGCAGGTTCTGCAATGATATACAACTACAAAGTGTCTGAAGTACAGGATATGGAAGGAATTCAGGGAATGGTTGGGATTTGCCCCCAATTTAATTTGCATTTTGAAGCCTTAACGGTGAAGGAAAACCTGAGAACTTTTGCTCACATCAAGGGGATTCAGTGGAAGGAAGTAGAGCAAGAGGTTGGTATGTGCTTGTCTGACCTCTGTTTTACAGCATCTTGGACACCTTGAGCTTTCTTTGTAAAAGATTATCACCAGCATCTTGTTCTGTGGAAATGAGAACAACCCTAATTTAGGGCAGAAACATTTTTTCAGTTCTTTCTTATCCTCATGTCATAGGACTTAGAATTCAGACTTGCAGTACTTCTCTCTAAGCCAAGCCATTTAAAGTAGATAATTTTAAAATCTTGAAGTTATACTCTCCTGTACTGTGTGTAGCCATGTATGAATTAAAACATAACAAGTGCTTTGGAAATCTGGCTCTTGTCTTTGTATATTGCCAAGGTGCAGAAAGTTCTCACGATGTTGGACCTCGCCGACCTTCAGGATGTCCACGCCAATGATCTGAGTGGGGGACAAAAAAGAAAATTGTCTCTTGGAATTGCAATTCTAGGAAATCCCCAGGTAGGTACCAGTCACACACACAACACATACCGCTTTAGCACATAGTTTTGCATTTTGATTTGGCGTGCAGACATTTGTACTTTTGCCCTGGCACTCCAAGTCTGCTGACCTACTAATTCACTAGGTTGCTGGAAGGATCAAGGAATCTAGGTCAATGAGAAGCGTGTTTTAAATGAAAAGGGTAATAATATTGTCACAGGAGAAAAAACAGTAAAAATGGCTGATATTTGAGGATGCTTTTTATTGTTAAGAGTTAGATCATCAAAAGCATGAAATGAAACGATGCAAACATGGACATGCTGGCTTGGGAACGTGGAGGTCTGATCTTGCTCGCCTTTGCAGGTGTTGCTTTTAGATGAGCCGACGGCTGGGTTGGATCCCTGCTCCAGGCACCACGTGTGGAGCCTTCTGAAGGAACGCCAGGCTGGACGCGTGACGCTAAAAAAACCCAGTCCATGGAGGAGGCTGATGCTCATGCTGGTGAGCTCAGATTTTCATGCTGCGGTTGACCTGCAGCTTGAAAACAAGGATTTCCCATTGCAGAGCCCATGTATGGGTCCTGCCACGGTGCAGTCTCTGCTTGCTGGACACATTTTGTCTGATAGCGACCACCCAACCCAGGCTGAGCAAAGGCTAAAACTGGACTGACGTGCCCTACCAAGACCTTGCTCATGCTCTGCTTCAGGATGAAGCAATTGCATATTATCTGGATGTACCACTAGCAGCACCCACACAAATTAGTGATATTGTTTGAAGTAATATCTTTCCTATTTTCTTATTGCTCCCGGGCTGCATGGGAAATTTTCCACAAGCCTATACACAAGAACACGTAATTAAAGATTACCCTTGGTGCTTAGGAGAAAGGCAGCAGTTCAAAAAGAAAAAAAACCTTCAACAGTGGCCTGGTTTTACTCCTCTCGACTTCATTATAAAAATGTCTGTTGAGTTCAGAAGGAGCAGAGTGAGGTCAGTCTACTGCACTGTTGTAAATCCCCCCTAAATCCTTTGTATTCGTATCTCCTTAGATCGGAAAGCGTTTCTCTCAAATGGGAGATTACAGTGTGTTGGCTCATCTCTGTACCTGAAGAGAAAATGGGGAATTGGCTATCACTTAAGGTAAATCCTTTTCTTTTTGGTCATCACTCTCTTTATGAAAAGCTTCTCGTTGATGTATTTTCTTGTAGAGTCTGTGTCCCTATGGAGTTTCTATATAGAGTAATAGAAATCTCAACAGTTCATTTTAGAAGACTTTTGAGGCTGCCAAAAATATCTTGCTTTGGATAGCAAGCTGCTTTTCCTTGGAACCCAATCTTGAAAGCTCTGAGTACGTAGCTAAAATGACTTTGCAACCTCCTTCGCAGCCAAAAGGGGACCAGAGTAAGATGAATTGCAATTTCCACTTGCTCTGTGGTGCCAGTGATGGCTTTAATGTAAAGTTGTTTTTCTTTGGATTTTAATGTCTGTGTTCTTGGTTTAGCAGTGTTGGCCAGGATCATTATTCTTAACCTCAACTATTTCTCGCGTGCATGGCAAAACCAGGGGCACTGCAGACATCTATAAAAGTTCCCACATAGGTTTCCCTATGGCTTGAAGAACAACCTCTGGCTTTATATTTTAAACGGATGATGCATGCACGTTTTTCTCATTTAATATTATAGCAATTGCTTTTTAATACAAACAGAATGCGCATAAATGACCTGTGTGACCCCGAGCTTACATCATCCCTGGTCAGACAGTACATCCCCAATGCCGTGCTCAAAGGACAGAAGCGGGGCGAGCTGTGTTATATGCTGCCTCTGGAAAACACCGACAGCTTCCCAGGTAAGAAAAGCCTGTCGTTGCGTCAGGGTTGTAAAGGAAAACTAAGTGGTGGGAAAAGCAGAAAGCAAAGTTGCTGTGAAGGGAATATATTTCCTTGTCCGTACTGCATGGGATTTGGAAACCCGGAGCTGCATAAACACCAGCCTTAAAGCAAGCCTCTAAAGTACGTGCTAATATTAATACTGCGGATGAACAAAAGAAAGCCCACCAATTAATCTGCGAAATAAAACCCACTGAGTCTCCTCTGGTTTCAGGATGAGAGTTGTCCCACCAGGAAGGCCCGTGGTAATCAAGAACGCTGAAGTTTCCGCTTACCTCTAAAGAGCACAATAATTTTGCCGTGGCTTTTAAGTTACGGAGATTAATTATGTGAACACTAGAACGTACAACGTTAATCATGCCAGTCTGAGTTTCTGCTCAATGCTAGCATTGGTCGTTGGGCTGAGCCTGGCTGTTTCTGTCGTGCAGATCTGTTCAGCCATCTGGAGAACAGTTTTTTGCAGGGGGTTGTTAATTATGAGGTTAGCAGGACAACCCTGGAAGATGTTTTCCTGAAGCTGGAGGGCGAGGAAGCCATTGATCAAGAAGGTAAAACACTGACTCCAATTTGCAAGTGTAGTGTCATTAAGGTTACATATATACATATGTTTTAATTAAATATCTAATGAATATCTGTTAAATGTGAATTTTGGTAGCTTTTGGTAGGTCAAGAGTTGCAGTTGTATTCAGCCTTCTTTTAGTGAAGAATATCTTCTCGGAGAAGTCTAGATGATTCAGTCTCAACCTCCCATGGGCTTTTAAGCACATGAATTAAGACTGATGTTGGAAGGGTATTTGCCTTTGAAGGGTATGTTGCCCAGACCAGGAGGTGGGAAGAGGTAAACTAGCCAGAAGGCATTTCACAAGGCCAGTGAAGATACTGGATGTGTTGTCGTATGAGCCCATATGTCGGATCAGCCAGTCTGAATTCACCAATGTAGATTATATTCCAGATAATTATGTCCCCTTTTCTCTGCCCTTGTTTGTTTTCTGGCTAAAAAATTAAAAGTGTTCCTCTATTCAGAACACAAGATCCTTGTTGATTGTTTGCACTTAAAACTCGTCCTTTGCACGCTTTTTGTGGATAATGATGTTTCTCGTGGTGAACACGCAGAAGACGGAGACCTTGAGGAGAGGGACCAAAGCCTCCTGGTGTTTTCCGAACAGGGGATCGCGGCAGTGAGCGGGATGGCACTCTGGAGGCAGCAAGTGTGTGCCGTGATGAGAGTTCGCTTCTTAAAACTAAAGCACGAAGGAAAGTTTCTCAGGTCCATGTAAGTACGGGAGCTCTCGGCTACTCTGCAGCCCCTGTGCTGGCTTGGTGCTTTTCAAAGGATTTAATCATTCCCTTGAGTGGGTGAGGGAAGGCTTAAATACTGGTGGAGATGTTGGGAAGCTAAGAATTAGATGGGAAATGGTTAAAAGCTGCAGTAATAAGGACAGTTAGAATTTACTGGTAGAGCCCTGAATTGCTAAAGTTTTAAATTTCCCCTTGCCTTTCTCAACATAAATCACACAATTAGTCAAAGGTGGAGTTCCCCGGGACTTATGGTCTCTTTTTCCATCTAGATTGTTGTTCTTTGGAATATTTATCCTTCCAATGCTTATGCTTTTCATTGGATTTCAACTGTGGGACGGCTCCGGCAACTGGGAAATCACAGCTAGCTCGTATTTTCTTCCCACTGAAGAGAAAATTCAAAATAAGTCTACAAATCTTCTCATCTTCAATGATACAGGTGAAAAAGAACATGTGATGTTGATTCACTTTCTGCACCACTCTGAGTCCTCTTAGAGTTGATAGATCAACCTTGCCTTACTCTTTCTGTACGTTCCTTTATATATTTCTGGCCTTGGGAAGTGTTTTCTTTTGAGCAAAAGCAAATCCCATTTAACTAAAATAGGAAAAAAATATAGACAATGTAAGTTTGCTTAGATTCTGAATGATTTTTTTTTTTTTGTTAACATACCTCTGCTTTGTAAGTGGGAACTTGTCTATAAAAAACTTTATATTTAAAGAAAAAAACCCATAATTATTCTAATTTCTGTTTTTGACTTGATTTCAGGATCAGAAATTGAGGATTTCATTGTGGCTTTGAAGTCTCAAAACATGATGCCAGAAATTACTCTTGAGAAAAACATCACAAGCATTCCACTACATAATGGAGCTATAAAAATATCCCTGGAAGACAAGGTGAGTGATATTTTCTCTTCTTTCATCCTGTATGTCGACATAATTTTCTGAAATTTGTTTAAACGAGGCACAGCAAAAGGGAAAATATTTATCTGACATATTAAATAGTATCAGTAATCCTGTTTGTGGGAAACCAGGATTATATTTGGTTCTTTCCACTGCAGGCTTTTTTACAGTGATCTTTAGAGAAAAGCATTAATTCAAGTCTTTTGTGCTTTTCTCCAGAAATTGTTGTCTTTATCGATCGCTTTGCTCGCGGTGCCTGTGAGCACGCTTCCAGGTCTCTGCGGTCCCATCAATAAACCTGTCTGTCTTTTGTCATTGCTTTTCTCTAAACCCCTCGCTGTGGTCAGCTCCTCCACACACCTCTCATGGGCACGAAGGTAACATCTTTTGCTCTTACGTCTTCAGAGCTACCGATTCACAGTCATGTGCAGTGCAGAACCCATCAACTGTTTCCCCATGCTCGTGAACATCCTCAGCAACACCTTCCTAAGGCTCTTCAATTGCACTGCACGTATCCGCGTCTGGAGCGAGCCCTTTTATAACGTGAGTGTCCTGCCTTTCTTGGTGAAAATTAATTAAAAAAAAGCCACGTTGAGGTGGTAAGAACTGGATGGGTTGGAAAAGTGGTTGGATGAGCAACCTGCAAGGGTTGGTCAGTGGTCCAACTGCTGGCCAGTTGCTGGGGGCATTGCTCAGCAGTCAACACTGGTGCTATTTAATGATCATTTCTTCTGCAGTGTTTAAGAGCTCTATAGGGGTTTCAGTGCCACAGGACATTCAAGCTTGTGCTATGTGGCAGTATGTTAGGAATACAACAGTAACCCTTGCAAGACCTGCCTTGCTTCAGCATCTATTTGACGCTAATCAGGATCAAAAGATGGTCTCTACCCTCAACAATTTACAGTAATTCAAATACTTTTAGCCTAAATGCTGTTTTAAAATTGCTTTGTTTTGTGTTCTTCAACGCAGATTATGTACCATAAGTGTTAGCACTCGCTTGTAGCTTTAGTCATCCTGTGAGCATTGACCCAGCCAGGAATTCCCTGGGCAGCTGTTGATTACTGATGACTTCCGAATTTCTCTTCTGCAGACGCAAAACCCAGAAGTAAAGAGTGATATTTTTTTCATCTGTCTCAGCTACATGCTGATTTTGGCTGCCGGTTTGCCTCCTCACTTTGCGGTGAGCAGCATGGAGGATTACAAGGTAAAAAGCATGTGTGGAAAGTGGTCTCACACAAGAAGCAAATGCAAATGTGATGTCTCTGGAGAGGCTCTTGTGCCGGTGGGCTGGTACCCTGATAACACGCTTTGGTACCCTGCACCTCAGGGAATCGGTGAAGCTCAGAACAACTTGGGCATTATTAAAGATTTTGGGGTCAGGAGGATTTAACTTTTTTTTTTTCTTTTTAAGAACGATGCGTTTTTAATCAATAGTAGAACTAAGAAAGAATTGAAAGAGCTTGGAAAGGAGAGGAAAGCTCATCCAGGGAAGGGAGGAGTGAGAGTAATGGAGAAGGAGGAGGAAGAGCAGGAACGGTGTTCCGGGCTCTTCTGAATCAGCTCCCTTTTCCCATTTGCTTGTGCAGCTCCAGGCTCGTGCCCAGCTGCGGCTCGCGGGGCTCTTCCCCTCGGCGTACTGGTGCGGGCAGGCGCTGGTGGACGTCCCGCTCTTCTGGACCCTGGTGTGCCTCATGTTCGGGGTCGTGCTGCTCTTCAACCCCGTCTGCCCCTTGCAGGCTGTCACCATCCTGCCCCTGGTGAGCTCTTTACGTACGGGAAAATGAGCAGCCACAAATCCCCCTCCCTCATTTCGCAGTGAGTTTTTGCATTAAATATTTGAATTGAAATGGGCTGCTTCAGGCAGGCCTTCATACACCCACGTCCATCTCCTCGTCGCTGACATCAGTCTCTCTCTAGATCATTTGTGCCATTGGTTACGGAGTATCTCTTGTCCTCCTCGTCTATGTAATTGCCTTTAAATTTCGCACGGGACGGAGCAATCGTTACATTTGGTCTTTCATCTTCATTCTGGTAAGTGAAGTGAACCTTCGCCCTGAAGTGTCTGATGTACACACCTTGCCATTTGAGTTCTCACTTCAAATATACTGATACTCAGCAGAATGACCCAAATCAGTGACAAATAGCCTAGTTTTTAGCAACATGAATATTGGAAATACATTTTCTGCTTTATTCCAGGTGAATTTCACTCTCTATATGCTCAGTGACCTACATGAAGCACTTTACTTCACCTTCTCTACTTTGATTCCTGTGTTTCCACTGCTGGGCTGGTTGATTTTCTCTGCACCAGTAAGTAAACACGTCCTACTAAATTCAGTAATGGTCCTAGTGGTGCAAACTGGAAAAGCAAGAGGGACTTTCCAAATTCCCTGTCTCCAAGTGCCAAAAGACAAAAAGTCTGACAAAATGTCAAAAAGACAGAGTGAGAAAAGACAACAGGAGAAGAAAAGGTCCAGGCTGGGGAGTGAGAGAAAGGACCAAGATTTGACTTGTTAATCGTTGTCTGATTGGGATCTTCTTAGTTTGTTTCGTTACAAAAGGCTGTTACCGTGACTGTACCTTGGCAGCCAGGGTAGCATGGGAGGGGAAGGCGGTGGAGTGGGAAGACCTGGAGGGATGAAGTGATCTGGCAGAAGGAGATGACAGGAGTGGGAAGAGAGATGCAACGGTGGAAAAGGTCGAGCTAACCTGGCTGATTTGAAGCCCCTCTGAATTAGCTGTAGCCAAGGAAGCTGCAGTTCTTTGAGGCAATATGAACCAAAAAAAAGTACAGATCAAAGCTCCTCAACCCCCTCCTGGAGAAAAGCTAAGCATCCCTACATCCCACACTTGCTCCGACCCTGCACTGAGGCACACCGCGCTAAGGAATTTTTCTAATCAACTGATATTTTCTTTTCTTGTAGCGTTTCTCATTGTTTCACAGTATCGGTCTTCTTGAGTCATGGAATCACGTCTTCGTAGCTGTCTTTGCAGTAAGGAGCAGTTTGATGATGGTTGTTTTGGAAAGGATGACCGTTCTAATGGACTTGCACTGGGCTTGTATAACTCTCCCCACAAATAAAGCATGGGTTAAATGCTGGCAGGGGAGGTACATCCAAGTAATCATGGGCTTGTGTCTCTCGTGACCCCTGGGTGCTGTACCATATGTGCAAAAATGGTGGGAGGATTAAGCGGAGCTCATGTATAAGGCAGAGATATTCGTAATCAGTCTAACGCTGCTTCTGCAGAAGAAAGATGTAGTCTCTGATCCTGTAGGATGTCTGTTGTGATGCAGATTATCCAAGCCAAAACCGCAGTATCAAGTCAAGGCTTTGCAAATGATCTGCATATGAGATGGACATGTATGCAAAGCATCGATTTAGTGTCTTCCCCTTTGGGACCTTTTCAATAGCTGAAGTAAATGAGATCAGTCCCTGCATGCCCTTATAATAAAAATTAATTGTGTTGTTACCTTGTCTCCATACAAACCTAATTCCTTATTTCTTTTTAGCCTTACATCCACTGTGTGATTTTTGCTTTTCTCCTGCGCTGTTTGGAGATGAGATACGGAGAAGCAGTCACAAGACTTGATCCCGTCTTCAGGTGTGTCCCGAGCAGCCGGGTGCCAGGGTGCCTTGTGAGCCACGGTTATCCCAGTCTGTAGGGTGGGCTCAGTGCTGCACAGTCAGGCAGGACCCTCCTATTTAGGCTAGATATTAGGAAAAATTTCTTCACTGAGAGAGTGGTCAGGCATTGGCACAGGCTGCCCAGGGAGGTGGTGGAGTCACCATCACTGGAGGTGTTCAAAAAACATGTGAACGTGGCACTTCGGGATGTGGTTCAGTGGGCACGGTGGGGTTGGGCTGATGGTTGGACTTGATGATCTTAAAGGTCCTTAATGATTCTGTGGCTCACCCCTGACAGCAGGAGGAGAGGAGGAATGAACTTAAAAACATTTTGCAAAGTGTGGATAAAGCTCATATTTTTAGTCTTAATCAGTTTATCTGGAAAGGAGGAAATTGAGAATGAAGGGAGGGATTTTTTTATTCCTTTGGGTCATTACAGTTTCCAACTTTACTTATTGGAGTTTCCCTGAATGTGTCTGGAGGTAAATTCCCACCCAGTGTGTTGCAATAGAAGGTCAGTTGAACTACAATGTCCTAGACAGAATAATAAATGTGATTGAAGCTTTTTTTTAAATTAAGCTTCATAGCTGAGGTTTCAGGACATTTCACTACAGCTGGCTAAATTAATAGTTACAAATTTAAATCCAACATTTTAACTCCTTTTCAAATGTGTCAGAACTGCTCTCTACAGGACGGAGACTTCCCCTAAAGCTTCATCAGGCTGGGGTCGTCTGCTACCTGCTCTCTTACCTGTTGCCAACAGCATGCGAGTGACCACCTAAGCCATGGGGGAAAACATCTGTAGAAAATATTAAATTGTCAGACGTTAACAAATGTGACTCAGCTAGGAGTTAAACGCCCAAATAGCTTTGAAAACCTGCCCCGTGTATTCTAATTCTCCTTGAACAGATCGTGGGCATGTGTTGAGTGGGGGACCAGTCAATACTTAATGATGAAAGAAAAGCTAAAGTTGGCCTTTATTTTCTCATGCGTGCCAGTGGGATGTTTTTCTTCCCCCCATGAACAAATATTTGAGCAAACGCTGTCTGTGGAACACCTCCCTGAATTCAAATAAATATTGTGGGGCGCTACATTGGCGCTGCCCTGGGAACAAACTTGTAAACCCGAGACTTTTTGGAAGTGATTCCTGGCGACACCATCTCTCCTCCTCCGCTCGTAGGATCCAGCAGAGGAGAGCGGTCGCCCGCCAGAACAGGGACCACCCTGGGGAGGAACCCCCAGAAGTCCAGGCAGAGAGGGAGAGGGTGAGGAGCGCGATGGCCTCCCTGCAGCAGGACGAGGTGAAACCAGCCTTCTGGCTTCTTTTCTTTTTCATTCTCCATCTTCAGGCCTGTCTCCTCTTTCTTAGCTCATGCACTTACTATTTACTGATCTGATGTCCAAGCGCACATCTCGCCATCCAGCCCACGGCTGCCCTGGCACCAGAAGGAATTTAGCTGACACTATATTTTTATTCCTATCCTGCTTTTTTTCCTTTTTTTTCTGTTGCTCTGTTTCTTGGACTCTTAATTTAGAAAGTTTCTCTTTAAAGAGTCATACTTAATGGTAAGAACAGATGAGCTGTGTCATGGGATAGGATGAGAGTTTTTATTTCCCACTTCGTCTCTTCACAGGAGCCAGTTATCGTTGTCAACAGTTTGCGCAAGGAATATGAAGACAAGAAAGCCAGTTCCATCTTTAAGAAAAAGAAGAAAGTTGCTGTCAAAAACCTCTCTTTTAGTGTTAAAAAAGGTTTAAGTATTTTGCCTAACCTCCTATAAATGACTAAAATCTAATGTGAAGGTCACATTTGGAGACCATATTTTTGTTAGAACTTTCTTGTGTGCAACCAGACCCAACGCACCTGGGCTCCTGCATTCACGGTTTTAATTTATTGGGAAGGTTAATGAACAACCCTTTCTCTTACTGCACTTTTAGATATTACCTAGCGCACAGGGAAGAAGATCTTATTAACAATAATTATTATTAACAGTTCTTGCATATTTGTTCCAGGAGAAGTATTAGGTTTGTTAGGACCCAACGGAGCTGGAAAAAGCACAACTATAAGCATGATTTCTGGAGACACAACGGTGACTGCCGGCGAGGTAGGTGATTCCTTTGGCGTGTTTGGGGGTTGATCTTGATGCCTTTCTAAATGAAAGATGTGATAAGGCAAGCTGGCAGTGCAACCCTTAAGTCAGGGAATTTATGTACGTGCAGCCCTGGATCGTTACAGAAGTAAGAAGAAAGTGTTGATTTACTCAAAGCATGTTCTAGTTTTCATCAAAATCGATGTTACAGATTTAAGGGTTTGAGCTACGCAAAATCTTCAGTGCGCGTTTGAAACCCATCGTGAAGTTTCACAAGCCCCGTAAAAAATGTTGATGTCTAAAAAGAAAACAACGCTCTTCATAAACAGCCTTGCAAAACCAGGAAATTGAAAACGAATGTGAACAGGGTTGGGCCAGTAACAATCCATCACTTAATTAAGTCCAGGATGATTAATGATCTGTGCTGGGGGAGGGGAAATGCCATTGCTGTTACAGATTTGGGACTGAAACAGAAAAGTGTTACTAGGAAAAGATAGTCTCCCGTCGGTACTACTACCCCAAGTTTTACGGCAGAGAACACCCTTTGGGTTCAGGGGAGCAGGAGCGGTGGCAGACGGAGATGGTCGCTCCCGCGATGCTGCTCTTCCGTTCCCACGGTGTTCCTCGCCACGCGGGGGGGAACATTACTGCGTTTCCAAGGGGTTCGCTGCTTCACCCCGGAATAACGCTCTACGGCGACGCAGGCGTGCGTGTGTTTGTGCAGGTGCTGCTCCAGGGCCGCCACGCCG